GCTTAAACAATTCTGCGCTTCTTTGTGTTCATACATAAAGCCCTGTATGCAGCTCTCAAGAAAACGGTCAAGAAAAAATTGCCATTATTTCGCGTGTGTGTCCAAGGAATTTTGACATTTTTGATACCTCACAGCCTGTTGCCTCACTCTTTCCTCAAGAAATAATGGAACGGGCATATATTTCTGTTGCAAGCCTGGGTTGCCTTGTGCTCTTTTTTCACAAAAAACTTTAGAAAACCGTAGTAGAAAGCGTAGTAAATTTCTAAAGAACTGCGTACTGCCTTAAGGAAATTTGACTCAAGAAAATTTTTTAGCCTTTTCTTGTACGTCATTTTATATGGAGTTTTTGCTTTTCTTGAGAGCTGCGTACAGGCCTTAAAGGATGGGGCCGGTGTGCGGACTAAACCACTTTTGTGGTATATATATCACTTTTTTTTCTAAATGGCGTTTCTACCCCATCTACCACCGTAAGCTTAAAACATACCACATTTTACAATTTTGCTCAATTTACAATGTGGATGATTCTGCAATCACTAATTTTCTGTATTTTATGTACTATCGTGAATTAGGCAATTGTGAATGCGACATTGGCTCTAATTTTTGCATTCCATTTTCTAATTGATTCCTGTTTTCTTTCAGCACATGGCTAATTTGCTCTGTGCTAGGATCGTGATGGTTCTATACTATTACGGCTGCCAGACGTCCCGGTTTTCCCGAACATGTGACTGTTTTAGACTATTTGTCCCGGTGTCCTGGTCCAACCTTAAAATGTCCCGGGTTTCGTTTAAGTGTCCAAATTTTTTGCATTTGCTCGTTTATTTTTCGTGCGTGCTTTACTTCCAATGTACGTTTTCGCGGCAAAGTTTATAGACTATAAAAATGTATGTTTATAGTGTTTTAATTACCCTTAGAAAATGCCAAAGAGATTGAATTAATTCCTTCCCGCTTTCACAGAAGAGTTGTCATTTGTTTATATTTGTTGATGTAATACATAGTACCTTAAAAGAGAGCCTCACTGAGTTGTCCATCACATCTTGTTTAATATTTACACCTTGGCTATACCTGGTCATAACTCTTATTGAACTAAGGAAAGAAATTCGCTCAACATAAGTACATACATTAAAAATTACGTGTACAGAGTTTTACAATTATATTAAGGAAAAGTCAGAAGTTTAAACATATAAACAGCAACAAAAAATATGACTGATTTTTTAATGTTATCTTGTACTTACATTTTTGTTTCGTGAACCCTAGTTTACTTATAAGTACAGTGCCGTACAAAATTATTAGCTCAGAGAATTTTTCATCAGATCTTTTAGAAAAATGTTGAAAATGTAACTTTTTAGCCAATTAAAAAAGTGCAAGTCTGAAGTTGCTAGAAAATCGCGTTGATTTCACTGGATTACAAATTTTAGTTTGGTTTTTGTTCTCCAGAAACCACTATCCAATTTCTATATAGAATTGCTCGGTGATTCCGAAAATCGAGTTAATTTTTTGTCTATAGATACGTTTTCGATACAAGCTATGTTTGACAATTCATTTTGTATGGAAGATACTGTCAGCAAAAACAAAATTGCTAAAAACACCGGTTTACAGCAAAAATGTTCAATGGATGCCACTATCCAATTTTTATGTAGAATTGCTCGGTGATTCCGAAAATCGAGTTAATTTTTTTTTTCTACGGATACGCTTTCGAGATGATTGCAATTTAATGTTATTCGGCTTAAAACAAAAAGTGGTTCCACTTAATCACGTAGATATACATACGTACCAATTTAACAATCATTAAATGAGATACGTCAAATAAAAGCTAATAAATTCTCCATAAACTGATACTTTCTGACAAATTAATTAATCATTCCAGTTTTTTATTTTTTAATGAAAAAATTAAAAAAAAAAAATCAAACGTTAACAGAAAAAAATTAAAAAAATAACAGGTTCTGTGGAAAATTTTTGCTTTTTTACTAAAACCTGTTCTGTTACAAAAAAAAAAAAAACACAAGTTACTAATGAAGGAAAGCGAGGGATAAATAAAGAAGTAATGAGTGGTCAAATGAAAATACGCAAAGATTTTTTATATGAATATAATATGATTTCGAACAATGTTTCAATTGATTTTGCATTTTCATTAGATGTTTTAAAAAATTCCTTGGATTCCATTTTCTAGTTCTTATCTATTATTATTTAGTAACTAAGCTGGATTTTGTTATTAGTCTGTAAGGAACTTTTATACGTTTATTAGACTAAATAAATAAATAAATGAATATGAGCAGAAAAGCGTGTTACTCAGGTGGATGTGGCGTATGAGTAACTTTCTTTCCTGCTCATTTTTCATACAAAAAATCTTTGCGTATTTTCATTTGACCACTCATTACTTCTTTAGATTTAAAGTTTGATTTATTTTTAATTTTTTTCATTAAAAAATAAAACAAACTGGAATTATCAATTAATTTGTCATTTATGTCGTTTATGGAGAATTTCATTGGCTTTGATTTGACGTACCTCATTTTAAGATTTTTAAATTGGTTCGTAACATATACGTCATTAAGTAAAACTACTTTTTGTTTAAAGCTGAATAACGGTAAATTGCAAAACTCTCGGAAACGTATCCATAGAGAAAAAAATTAACTCGATTTTCGGAATCATCGAGCAATTGTACATATAAATTGGATAGTGGCATCCATTGAACATTTTTGCTGTAAACCAATGTTTTTAGCAATTTTGTTTTTGCTGGCAGTGTCTTCCATACAAAATGAATTGTCGAACATAGTTTGTATAGAACAAAACTTCATTTTCAAAATTCATTGAAATTTTCCGAGTTTTGCTCAAACTGTAGAAATTTTATGTTTATGTTTTTGATGTATATATACTATATTGATGTATATATACCATATTTTTATTTATATATAAACTATATTTTTATAAAAAATTAAAACAAAAAAATGTTGCATGCATTGTGAAAATTTCTCTGTGCCAATAATTTTTGGTGGCACTGTATGTGTATTTTGATCTTTAGTTATGGGCTTAGTGTTGTGTTAGATTTACCAAAGTGTCCCGGTTTGGCAACGGAGATATCTGGCAGCCCTATTCCATACATATATGTAATACTCCTATATTGGCAATAAGAGCTAGTACCGTTCGAAAACACTACAGTACAGATATATCAATAAACACGTACGAAAGAAAAGGAACACATACGTTTATAAATACCCTGCAGGGAAACCGCGGACTAGTGAATCAAATTTCTAGTTCCGTACTAGGTCTTTATCGCCAAAAAGGAACTAGCCCGACAGGAACTAGATCCCCACGAGCTCAAAGTCGGCGTAAAGTGGTACTTTTAAAAAGCTATTTTTTCAGTTTTTTTCACTAGAAATCGATATCTAAAGTGACGAATTTAGAACTGGTTCGGAACTATAGAAAAAGAGATGCAGAACGAACTAGATCTTATTTGTCGAATTTAGAACTAGTTCGGAACTATCGAAAAAGGGATGCAGGGGGCTTGTTTACTTTACATAGATATGTGTTCGGCGGCTTTTTCGTTCAAATACGCTTCTATTCTGCATTTCGCAGATGCTTTTTCATAGCTTGGTAATACAAAACCAAAATTTGTGTTAACCTTTCAACATCTTGGGACCGTCTGGAATCTAATAGCGAGCACCTCTGCAAACTCAGCTACAGCTAAAGGTATGTAAACGTACATTTCTTACAATCATTCAAACAAATTTAGTTTGAAATTGAAAACACATTTCTTTCAAAATAACTTAAAATCGCACACACAGAAGAACCAAAACCGGTACTATAGAATATAGGAGTAGTTCGGAACTATCGAAAAAGGGATGCAGCGGGGGGCAATTGACACTTCCTAGGACATCGCCATGTTAAATTCGCCAGTTGCTTGCATGCCAAAGAGATTTATCGCGAACCAGTACTGAGTCTAAATGTACTAGAAGCGCACCAGTTCAGGACTAGAGATTTTCCCCACAGGGCATGTACACAACACATATACAAAAACGGCACTCAAGTACACAACACATTGACAAAAACGGTACTAGACTGTCTCGCTTTGATTTCGGAATGCTTACACATTGAGAAGTTAGCTTACTGCCAATATAGAAGTATTACATATTTGGTTCTATACGTAACAATTTTTTCTCAAACTTGAAGTAATTTCTCTTTAACCTTTGCCAATCAATAGAAAAGTTCTATGGTGAAAAATCTTTATAACTACTATGGTGAGAAGGTTTTACATTTCTGCTGTGCCAATTCGCAACTCTTATTGCTGGAAATTTTTGACTGTTGGTCTGATGCAGAAGAAGTTGAGCAATTAAAATGCACAAATTATATAAAAAATATTTGTCTTTGCTGGTTTTAATTCATCCAGAACTGAAATCCATGCATATTAGAACAAAAATACTTCAAAATTTCCAGGAAGGTGTGTTTCTTGCTGTAAAATTTTTCACTGGCTTTATTGGATAGGCAATTTTACACCTTATAGTTGTCAAAAATTTACAGTCCAGAGTACTTTGCTATCAATTGGCGCAGGCCCTAAGTTTCAAAATCTTAACCCTTGAAGTAAAGTTGCCTTTACATGAGCCAATTTTTTGACAGGCGATAATCGCCTGCAAAAGTTGATTTAAAGCGCAGTTAGGCAACGACGTAGCGTAAACGTAGGTTGGCGTACGTAACAGCATATCAAATTTACTGTTGATAGAGAGAGAGAGAAGCCACGGCAACGTCACCGCCATGCGGTGGTGAGTTTTCGCTAACACGCGAACCCCATAAGGTAAATCGTGTCTGCGTCAACGAACGTCTACGTTACGTCGTTGACTGTTTGAGCTTTTACTGTCTACTTTGAGCAAGGATTTTTGAATCACCATTTACACGAGCGATTTTTCTGGAGCAATGTTGAATCGCCTCATGTAAATCAAGCTTAAGGTATCAGATTAGTATGAAACTAATAAAGTATAAAAGTTAATTATATAATTTACACAGAAATTTACTTTTCTAAGAGTGACGGGTGGAACAACGATGACCCAGTTGTTTCCCAATTTTAGACAAACTATAAATATTTCGCTCAAAGCCCATTTCTCGTTTGTAGCTTATGGAATATTAAGGTGCATTTTATGCCTAATGACATCATTTGTGAAAAATAAAAAAAAAGCCTCCTTTAGCTTGTGGTGGGTGGGACAGTATTTTGTGAGGGGTGAGACGAGTCACTACTGAGGATGCAAAGTTCGTGAGTAAAATGAGCTCTACTAGTTTGATATGAATATTTTGTATACCTTAAATAAAATGTATTTAAACGATGGGAAGCTTTCGTGTTTGCAAAGTTATAAAGCGTACTCATTGAGCCATTAACTCGAGTTTATGGGCGATTTTGGAGTTTAACGCTTAACTCTACTCTTAAACTCGGAGTTTACCATACAAAGAATTTCGTTACACTCTCCTTAAACATCAATTTTATTTGGAGTTTATGCGAATGCAACTTTTTTTACCGGATTTGGTTTGTTTCTTTGATAATCCAAACCTGCAACCCACTTACCGACAGTTATACCATGTTCTGACCGACATCGAAAACATGTTTCTGTTGCTAAAACTGGTTTTCGACCTAAAACTTGTGTTTTCGTTCATGCAAAATCTGTCAAACGAAAACCAGTTTTCGCTGAAAACTACTTGAAAACTCACGTTCCACTCATTCCAATCGGTGTCTGCACTAGATTACTTATCGAAGTGGAATTCATATTTTATCACCTTTAATACGCTATTTCGGATTTATTGTTAATTGGCTGGCCAAAGTAAAATAAGAATGAAAGTAAAAGGTTGTTAATGAAAAGAAAATTAATGAAAAGGATTTTTATTTTGTTTTTGGGTAGCAAAACTGTAATCAAAGAATGTAAGAAATGTCAACGAAAACACTAACAACCTGTGTGAACAGCTTTCAGCCCACAACCCCAAAACTCGTTTTCAAAGTGTTTTCGTTGTCGGCCCGAACANGCCAAAGTAAAATAAGAATGAAAGTAAAAGGTTGTTAATGAAAAGAAAATTAATGAAAAGGATTTTTATTTTGTTTTTGGGTAGCAAAACTGTAATCAAAGAATGTAAGAAATGTCAACGAAAACACTAACAACCTGTGTGAACAGCTTTCAGCCCACAACCCCAAAACTCGTTTTCAAAGTGTTTTCGTTGTCGGCCCGAACAGACATTTCTTACATCCTCTGATTACAGTTTTACTACACAAAAACAAAACCAAAATGCTATTTCCCGAATTTTCTTTTCATTAGCAACATCTTACTTTTATTCTTATTTTACTTTGGCCAGACAACAATAAAACAACAACAATAAAATATGACTTCCACTTCGATAAATAATCGAAAAAATCTAGTGAAGACACCGATTGGAATGAGTGGAACGTGACTTTTCAAGTAGTTTTCACCGAAAACTGGTTTTCGTTTGACAGATTTTACATGGACGAAAGCACAAGGGTTAGGTCGAAAACCAGTTTTAGCAACGAGCACATGTTTTCGATGTCGGTCAGAACATGGTATTAGTTTGTTCCCGTTCTGCAGAAATTAAACAGAAATAGTCCGAGGTCGTTCCGAGCACAATATCAACAAAAAAACCAAAAATGTGGCCCCATAGAAGTAAATTATAAAGAAGATATCAATGGTTAAAGTTAAATGTTTTGATTTTTTTTTAAATATTAATATCTTCTGAACAACATAGCCTATTAAAAAACGAATGACGTCAAAAGGTTATTAATAAGGAAATACTAAAAAGCACAAAAAAATATAAATATATTTTTTTACATGGCGTTTATATAAAATTAGTTTTAAAACTGGTTATAGTATATTGTCATATTGTTAAGTACATACATGTATTCATACATATGTAAGCACATATATATAACATACATATGTACTCACATACATATTTCAAAAAACATATTAACATACTTAATTAACATACACTACTTATTAACATTAAGATAACATAATTATGTTAAGACTTCAGGAGAGTTAACACTCTGCATTGTTTTAATGTTACATATCTACATATATTAAGTANTGTCATATTGTTAAGTACATACATGTATTCATACATATGTAAGCACATATATATAACATACATATGTACTTACATACATATTTCAATAAACATATTAACATACTTAATTAACATACACTACTTATTAACATTAAGATAACATAATTATGTTAAGACTTCAGGAGAGTTAACACTCTGCATTGTTTTAATGTTACATATCTACATATATTAAGTAAGCTAACGTTAATGTTTAATACATATATATTATGTAAGAAATAAAGAGTTCAGTTGTAAAGAAACATCGAAGAAGGTGGTTTAATTTCGCAACGTGNAACATACACTACTTATTAACATTAAGATAACATAATTATGTTAAGACTTCAGGAGAGTTAACACTCTCTGCATTATTTTACTGTTACATACATATATTAAGTAAGCTAACGTTAATGTTTAATACATATATATTATGTAAGAAATAAAGAGTTCAGTTGTAAAGAAACATCGAAGAAGGTGGTTTAATTTCGCAACGTGACTGGCGACGAGGATGGGATAATAGAAGGAAAAGTTTACTTGGCAAGAGTCAAATAAGCAATCATCTGCGAACAAAAAATTTTGATAATTATAATTATAAATTATAATAACTAAAAAGTTTTAAAGTGATGTAAAACATAAAAAAAAAGAGTTTAGAAACTGGCTTTTACTTGAATAACACGTATATGAACATTTATTGAGTGATCTAAAACTGAATGCATTAAAGTGAGAAAAACGAGAAAAAAAAGTCGAAACTTAAAACTTTTAATTACATGTGATGTAAAAACAAATTTCAAGATAAAAACAAAAAAAAAAGAAGAAATTTAATTTCGGCCTTTTACTTAAATAATTAAGTGATATACAACTGAAAATATTGCAGTGAAAATAACGGTCGAACATTTTTTTTCAAATAACCTATGTTAGAGCAAAAGAGAAGAAGCTGTGAAAAAGCCTGTGCTACAGAAAAAAACAAAAAAAAAAAA